GCCCCAACCATTCCCCTCGCCATGGCCAGGACCTCCTCGCATGTTTTGCCGCTTGGGAGGCTTCTTATCCTTCTGTCCACTGGCCAGTAGCACTTCGCTTCCAGCCTTCGCGCGCCCTGATAATTTCATCGCCTTGGTGTAGATTGCAGACACAAGCACCGCTCTGATCTGACCACCGCATATCATGCCGCGGTAGAAAGCCTGGCTCAGACACAATGTCTGCACTGCTTGCATTGCGGGAATTCCAAACGCGAACCCGAGTCCACGGCCAAGATTGGGCATGGGGTGATTGCCGTGATGGGCGGCATATGCGTCCATTGCGTAGCTAGTCAGGTTTCTGACCAGGTATGGTGTTACGACAGCGAGTATCATACTCACAACCTGACATATACCACCAATAATAAATTCCAGCCTAAATGTATCGAATAGTGCCCATACCAGCGCCTTTTTTGAGCCCTTATCCGTTCGTTGTTTCAGTGCAGTATCGAATCTGGCCGTTAAAAGGTCCACTTTCCTGTCTGGATTGACAGACCATATATCTTGAATCTCTATTTGACGCAGGTATCCGGTCTGTTGTACATCATGAGCATGGTGTGGGTGAGTAACCGGGGTGAGCCCCAACTAACCTTGATCAATGGTGCTATCCATTGGAAGGTCACGCGACTGATGATGCTAGCCCCATACTCCTTACTGACTCCTCTTTCCTTCGGTATAGGTGGAACTTTCTGAAGTCGCAATGGGTTCAAACTCCGTCGCGCAGTCTTAGCCGGTGCTCTTTGGAGTTGGTTCTGTTTCTCATTCTCACTGTCCAGCTGCGTTGATCGAGAAGACGTTGTTAGCTCCGCTACTTGGCCTTTTCCTTCTTCTTCTTTATTGATCAGCATCAATCCATGCTTCGGTTCCTCATTTTCACTCATGATGATTCAGCTTTTGTCAAGCTAAATGAGTGATGAAATCGTATTTCTGGGGCGGCCTGCATCCGAAACTGGAGTTCAGATAAGCACCCACTAAGCCCAACAGGTAGAGAATTGGAGCGCTCGCGACACAGAGCGTTGATGGAAATTAACAAAGCGGAAAGCTTCGAGTCAATCAAACAGGCATTGCGTGCAATTAGATTATATCCGACCGTGGCGACTATCGGAAACAATGGGAAGCAGAAAACCGGTTATGCCAGAAAAGAGGGGGTGTCGATTCGAAGATAAAACATCCGGCAATCATTGATTGGCCACGTTGGTCAGTTTTTGTTGCTATCGTCCAGGGACCTGGAGATATATCTATCTCAGAGCCTTTTTAACGTCGGCCGATATAACTATGGATTAGTTCTAGTGCTGATGTTAGTTGCGATCTAGGCCAATAGATCCCGCATCAGGATAACCGGTAGCTATAAGTTCCATACGACCTGCACGTTATGTTGACTCTAAATGGGAGACAGAAGGATTGGAAGTCGGGACTGGCCTGACTGGGTGGTTTTGCATTTATGACATTTGGCGTTCCGTCCTCAAGGGCACGAGCAATAACAAGTCAACAATCGCTCTGCCATGGTACTTAATGCGATAGCGAAATCAGGTTCTTATGCGGAGACCGGAGGCTTGGTCCTTGCATTGTATATATCCGACGATCACATTCTAAGGAATGTTGCCGAAGCCAGGGAAAATCCGGTGCCCAGTAATGGACTATCCTTGCTCCCTTGCAGATCAACATTCAGTCTTGGGCTGAACATCAAATAGGTTCGCTACTATCATCGTCGATGACTCGACCTGTACCGAGGATCGCAATGTAGCTTCCATGACTATTAGAGCTAGCAGGCAGTGTAACCTCCGATGTATAGGGTCACCTTGGTTGCGAGCCGAGAGTGGCATACCAGATGTGAGGGCCGATATGCACTAGAGGCGATCCGAATCAATAAGAGGGGGAAGGAAACCAGGCTTGCTTTTTTTCACTGGAAAGAGAAAGATTGCATTTGCACCACACTAGACAGATCTGTACTAGGTAGCAATTAATACTACCGTAGCAGGGTGAGGGATTAATGGGAGGAGCTGTTGGTCGAAGAGGGGAAAGAAAGAGGGGGTGGCAGCAAAAAGGGCACGGGACAACAAACAGCCCACCCATCAGCCGCACAAATATATTATGATAGGTAAACCACCTGGCATGAGCCGGCACTGCCCAACTACTTACTTGAAATTCGATGAAAAATGTGCTGCTATCAATTTGTTGCTACACAATGCTTCTAAGGTCATAACATATCATTACAAGTCGTCATTCGCCACAAAGCTTGCATGGCCCACCAATCCCCTTACCAAGTCTAGGATGTTGCATCCAGAAAGAATCCTGTCTTCTCTCGTACTTGTGACGGAAAAGCCTTTTAGTTCAGGTCGCTAGAAGCGAGCAAGAAAATGGCCCTGGCTCTGGGTGAGATAGAGCACCATCAGGCTGATAGGTCAGGGCTCGGGTGTCGACCATAAACAGGCCTCGTCGCAGCTCAGGAAAGAACAGATCATGGCCTCTCATTAAGAGGTTGATTGACTGATCGCATCCTCCTTGTGTCCGGCTTCTAGTTCTCAAGGGTCACCTTGACCTTCTTCTCAGGCGGGGGGATAATCTCATCCTCGACCTCGCCGGTGAGAGTAGGCAGTTCTGCCACTGACTCCTTGATGATGTCCAGGGCCTTTTGAATCTCATCTTCAGTGATGACCAAAGGAGGCGCAAGACGGATGATGTTCTGGTGCGTGGGTTTGGCCTAACAAACACGGTGTCAGCAAATCTACGTTACCATCCACGACGAGCTGGATAGATTGAGACTTACCAGGAGACCCTTGGACTTCATCAACATACAGAGATCCCACGCGGTGCGACCATTGGTTCTCGACTCGTCAATAACGATGGCATTCAGCAGACCCTTGCCCCGTACAGTCTGGATGATAGGATTTTGGATGGCCAGCAGGCCGTCGCGGAAGATGTGACCAAGCTTCTCAGCGCGCTCGACCATCTGTTCTTCCTTGACGACCTCCAGAGCGCGGATGGCAACCGCACAGGCCAGAGGGTTACCGCCGTATGTGGATCCGTGCGTGCCGGGTTCGATGGTGAGCATGACATCCTTGCGGCCCAGCACGGCAGACACGGGGTACATGCCACCCGAGATGGCCTTGCCCAACAGGATCATGTCGGGTTTGATTCCACTCCACTCGTGGCAGAGCAGCTTACCAGTACGGGCAATGCCAGTCTGGATTTCATCGCAAATCAAGAGGACATTGTGCTTGTCGCAGAGGGCTCTGGCCTCCTGCAGGTAATCTTCGTCGGGAACCACGATACCCGCCTCGCCCTGAATGGGCTCCACCAGGAAAGCGGCCAAGTTGGGGCCCGCCTTCTCGAAGGCCTCCCGCAGAGCCGCCTTGTCGTTGTAGGCAATAGGCTTGTCCGTTCCGGGAATGGTGCATCCGATACCGGGGAGATAGGGGCCATAGTTTTCGCGCGACTCGGGGTCAGATGACAACGAGATAGCGGCGAACTAACATCCATGATCATGTTAGCTTTGACTAATTCTGCTTGATAGGACCAGAATCGCAAGCCCACTTACCGTGCGTCCGTGGAAGTTGTTCTCCGCACTCAGGACGAGCGCCTGGTTCTCCGGAATCCCCTTCACCTTATAACCCCACTTCCGAGCGATCTTGATACCAGTCTCAACGGCTTCCGCACCTGTGTTCATGGGCAGGACCATGTCGAACCCGAAGTACTTGGTAACAAATTCCGCGAAGCGAGGGAAGACGTCATTATAAAAGGCACGAGAGCTGAGGGTCAGCCGAGAGGCCTGTTCCACCAGAGCAGCTACCAGCTTGGGGTGGCAGTGACCCTGGTTGACGGCAGAGTATGCGGACAGGAAATCCAGGTACTCCCGACCCTCGGGGTCCCAGACCGTGGTGCCCTGAGCACGGGCGAAGACGACGGGGAGGGGATGATAGTTGTGAGCGGCATACTCCTTCTCAGCACCGATGGCATCCTGAGTGGTGGCAGCGTGATAGGAGTGAGCGCCATCGACACCGTTGGAGCCGTTGGCAGGCTTGGTGGCTTTGGTGGCTTTGGTGGCCATGGTGAAGACAAGTGATGTGGAGTATTATGCGGGGCAACGAAGAGGAGATTGAGTAGTAGGAAAGGTTGGTCAATGAGTCTGCCAGTGGGAAGGAGGAATAGGAAGAGAGGTAAGTAAGTATATGGAAAGAGAGCGGAGGAGAAGGGAAGGTGGGCGAGAAGAGGGAAGATATAAGAATTGCGCGGGCGGGCAGAAACAGGCAAATGTAGCGAGGCCAACGACAAACGAAGAGGAAAGGAAAAAGAATTGTTCACCGGCCGAGGAGGAAAAGGCAAGAAACGAGGGAAACGAGGATAACCAAGAGACAAGATGGGTGCAGATGGGAAATTTGCGGAGATGAACTAGACTCCTAAGTGCAAGTCTACGCGGATGATCCCTAAGTGCAGGTGTACCCGGGGCGGTTGCAGTTTAGTAGGAGTATCATCCACCCATTCTGACTAAGCCCCGGATAAGGAGATGGTCGATCCACCGCGTGTTCCACTTTTGTCCACTTCTGTCCACTTTGTTTTTCCTTTGCTCAGTTTGCCTTCTTCCATAAACCCAGTGACGCTCATTTTATTACTACTCACCACCACCACAACCTCACCTTCTGTTCAGAGTTCAGACCCACGCTACGCCACGCTGCGGATCCTCGCCTCCTCTCCTTTCTTATCGGTTCGGAGACCTGTCACAGTGACCGATGATTGGTGAAGCAGATTGGTGGTGATTGGGAATTCCTTATCAACAAACTTCCTGTACAGTGTACACTACAGCAGTGCAGTTTCTCCTGCAGCCCTCCGTTTAGAGTCGGCTCAATTACATCACACTCTTCCACCACCACCACAACAACAACACCAGCATCATCATCATCATCAGCATCATCCAGGACCTGGGGATCATATCATCTGGTTCCTGACTGGGTTCCACTACTACTAATATGTCAGGCCGATCAAGAGCCTCCTCGCCTCGTTCTTCCATTCCCTGCTCCCCCTCCTCCGTGTCCCCGGCTGTTTCTCTGGCCTCTGGCTTTCCCTCGGATGACCCCGACGGGCCCTTATACTTGCCTCGCCAACTGAGGCCGCGAACGCCTACTCCCTCCCCGCCCCGCTTCCCTATCCTACCTTCCCCACCCGATTCCCTACGCGTCTTCCTCTACTTGCTTGCTTTTCGACTTTTAAATGCCTTGACTACCCGCACCTTCTTCCAACCCGATGAATACTTTCAGTCTTTGGAACCGGCCTGGCAGGCGGCCTTTGGCGAAAACCACGGAGCTTGGATCACCTGGGTGAGCTTTCCCCCCCTTCCCTTTCTTTGTCTTCCGCTATTGGCGGAACGCGTCTGCACCTTTACGGCATCGCTCCCCTTGGTCCCCTTGAGTACTTTGCCCACCCTCCAACACCAATTTGGTCTTCTGCGTTCTGTTCGCTCTCACACCAATCCGCCCGGTTTCGGTGACTAATTGCTTCACCGCATGGTGTCATCTTACAGGAGTGGCGGCACCAGTTGAGATCCTCGCTTCACCCTCTCTTCTTTACCGCTGTTTATTCCGCTGCCAACGGGCTCGCTCGTGCTTTGCACCTCTCCCCTGCATGGCAGGCGGATCTTCTCATTGCCGCTCCGAAGACGGCGCAGGCCGTTATCGCAGCCCTCGGAGACTACTATACCTGGAAGCTGGCTCGCTGTGCCTATGGTCTAGCCAGTGCAGAGGCCTCAGCTGCGGTACGTATCAGATTGTAACTTGACATGTCCACCGCAGAAAGACTAATTGGGAACCCAGCTGGCGCTGACCGCCCTTAGCCCTTGGCAATGGTTTTGTTCTACCAGAACTTTGTCCAATTGCCTTGAAACAACGCTCACCGTTATCGCTCTATATCTGTGGCCGTGGGAATGGTCGGTGGCTCCGAAAGCCCCTATACAAGCCAAACCGACTGGCCGGGTAATCACCACGCCCTGGGATAAGATGAGAGAGGGCCAACGGCATCAGCATGATGAAGTGGTTCTCGGAAGGTATGTTATGCTGTCCTGCAGATGTGAAAGCTGCTATACGAATGGCTAATTTGAGGACATGGAGAATAGGCTGAGGCAGTGTCTCCCGCTTGCAGCCCTGGCCTGTATTTTGCGGCCCACAAACGTCTTGGTTTGGCTGATCCTAGCAAGCGTCATATTGCATCGCAGCACCTGGGCGCGAAGAAAACTTTTAGCTCGCGAAGCTGCAATTTGGGGGTAAGTCGTCTTCATCCTGCATCATGGATCTTGCATTGACTCCATTCCAAGCGCCGCTGTCCTAGCCGTATCGATCGTGGCAGATCGACTGTTCTACGGAATTTGGACCTTTCCTCCTTTACGATTCCTCTACTTCAATATTGCCCAGTCTCTGGCTGTTTTCTACGGGCGCAACGATTGGCATTACTACCTCTCCCAAGGCTATCCTCTGTTGCTGACAACTGCGCTCCCGTTCACCTTTGTGGGCCTGTATCGTGTTTGGGCACGCTCGCAGGCAGCCGCTAGCCATGACCTCCAAGTTGAAACGCAGACTCAACTGCAAACTCAACTGACTTACGTGTGCCTTTCCATGCCGCTTGTGCTCTCATTGATTTCCCACAAGGAAGTGCGGTTCATCTATCCATTGCTGCCAGCGCTACATGTTTTGACCTCTCCAGTCTTAGTGGACTTCTTTGGCCTTGCCGTGACTCAGTCGGTTGGCAGGCACATTCCTCGCCGACTGCTTTTAGTGTTTCTTGTGTTGTGCAACGTTGTCATTGGGCTCTACACCACAGTCTATCATGCGTCTGGGCCGAATGCTGTGTTTTCATACCTGAGAGACCAACGGCGAGTCCATGGTTCCAAGAACCTGAGTAACATCAATGAGCCCGGCATTATTGCCGGTTTCCTCATGCCATGCCACAGCACCCCGTGGCGTTCTCATATGGTTTATCCCTCCATCGATGCCTGGGCGCTTTCTTGCGAGCCTCCCATTGGAATGAATGCTACCGAAAAGGCGGAGTATCGTGACGAAGCCGATCAGTTCTATGACGATCCCTCCGGATTCCTGCGTGCCAACATGGCCGGCGGATTGAGCTACTTTCCCCGGCGACCAAGCTACCAGTCCCACTTGGAACGGTCCCGATCATCTCTACGATCCGAGGCTACCCCCAAGCACAACTGGCCGGACTACCTCATCTTCTTCGCCCAAATGGAACCCACGCTCAAGAAACTGCTCCGTGGTTCTTCTTACGGCGAATGCTGGCGCACTCACAATACCGATTGGCACGACGACTGGCGTCGTCAGGGCGATATCGTGGTCTGGTGTCTAGACACAACCGAACAGCTGGATTGGAGGACCGCGAAACGCTCTCGCCAACTCCAACAGCGCGGTCGGGTCTTCAACCGCATCGTTCAGGCCATCAAGAATCAGGGCCAGGGCGACAGACTCCAGTGGTCGTTCCCCTGGATCTCCTCGCGTCCCCAGTCCTCTTCCTGGTCATGGCTGTGGCCGTGGTACCGGCGGCCCAAGCATACCGTGCTTGGATTTGAGGTTCCAGACTGGCTGGATCGCCTCTGGGATTATGTCTGGTAAGGATTTTGACTACGCAACACCCGTTCTCTCCTTCGCATTTCGTACGCATGTACCCAAACTGTATACCCATCTCTTCTTTGTCATTCTTCACAATCTCTCTATATGTGTCTATAATCTGGCTCATGCTTGAGGTGTTCCCAGTCTGATTACGCTCGCTGCCACTGTATCTTTTTTTCCGCGATTCTGCTCACGGTTGCACATACTTGGAAATATTCTATACATTGGAATACATACCTTCTTCCCTTCCATCTGGTCGACAACGAGCGGAGATGAAGCTCGAGCAGCGTAAAGTATTTGCCCTTCCTTCAGACTACATACACCGAGGTGATTAAGGGGCTGCGGTGGCTGTAAGTCACGTGACTTATCTCACCAGCCCGACGACAAATGTCACTTGAGGAATGTTTAGTTTGACCGCTGCCTCCGTTTCTGTCGTAATTAGATTCGCGAGAAGGGATCATGGCATGCCATGCATAGTTCAGAGAAGAGTGCTGTCATATTTGGTATCTTTCGTGGCCCCCGGGGGAGACCAAATCAATGTACTATCTGCCCAAAAGAAAATATTCTACAAAAATGTGAGGGTGTGGGGATGTATTTAGGCCTCGCGCGACCTTGAGTGTCCTGATCCTAGCGATCGTCAACACGAATGCGAGCCAAGTGGTCGCTTATAGCTTGCCGCCCTGGGAATAGCCGTTGGTCTTCAACCAGGAACCAACGTCGGCGCGGTCACGGTTGACCCAGTTGACCTTGGCACGAATGGCATCCAGACTCTGCTCGACGGCACGGTCGAATCCCTAATCACCAATGTTAGTGTCATGTGACTAGTTATAGCAAAGCCGGGGAGAAGGAAATTACCTTGGTGTCCTTGCTCTTGAAGAAGGTCTCAACCTCCTTCAACTGGGCCTCCGTGCAGAAGCTGGCGGTGCTGAGCTGAATAACAGTGCCGAGCATACCCAGCGACGGGGGCAGGCGCTTGAAGATGGCATCCCAGTTGGTGGTCAACCAGGTCCAGCGGGCCTCGATACCATTGGTGTGGCTGCGCAGGCCGCTCAGGGGCATGTAGATGTCCTGGTTCTTGACCTCGTCGCCACTGGCCAATTCCAGGGTGCGCTTGATCAAAGCCGGGTCCTCGGCGGCACCCAAGCAGCGGAGGGCGGTGGTCTTCTCGTCCGAAGTCGGGGCATTGCGGAACCGGTCCAACACAATGTTGTACTCCTTCTCACCGCCCTTCTTCAGCACGATGCTGAACACGCTGCCGCGGATGTTGGGGTGAATGGCATTGGCATCGCCGGCAGCGAACCGCTCGAACATATCGTGGGCCGCCTTGACGACGACCGGATCCTCAGCCGAGCCGGCACTGCCGAACATCAATGCCTTGAACTGCTGCAGGATGTGTCCGTCCTTGTCGGAGAAGTCCCATCCAAGCTCATGGGCCTTCTCGCTGACCAAAGACCGCTGGAAGGCCTTCAGGGCATCCTTGCTGGAAGCATCCTCAAACAACCAAGCGGCCCGGAGAGCACCGATACGGGTCAGAATCTCGTTCCACACAACGAATTCCGACTCGCTGTCGAATCCCTTCAGAAGGGACAGGAGTCCGGAAGTGCTCTGGAAGCCAGACGCCGCGAGAGCACCCGCGTCGGCGATCATACCAGCACGGTCTTCGACGGTGAGGAGGCCATTCTTAGCAGCCTGTCCCAGCTTAGTGAGACGCTCGGGGGTGTAGGAGGTGCGATAGATGGCGGAGTGATCAGCGTTGAGCTTGAAGAAGTCCAAATCGGGAACCTTGAATTCGCCTTCCCGCTCGCTCAGCATGGTATCTTCATCGAGACCCTGCTTGGTCCGCAGACCCAGGATGACTGGGTAGAGCGTGGTATCCTCCTCAGGGCGGACATCGCCCGTTCGCAGGAAGCGGTTCTGCTTGACCTTGATGGATGAGGTCTTGGCATCCTCAGAGACAGTGACAACGGGGAATCCCACGTTCTTGGTCCAGATGTCCATCACCTGCTCAACGGGCTTGCCACTAGCATCGGCGAGAGCAGCCCACAGGTCACCCGTCTGGGTGTTGCCATAGGCGTGCTTCTTGATGTAGTTACGGACACCCTGCAGGAACACGTCCTCACCCATGTACTTGGAGATCATGCGCAGAACGGACGAGCCCTTGGAGTAAGAGATGGCATCGAAGATCTGGTTGATCTCGTCGGCACGCTTCACAGGCACCTCAATGGGGTGACTGCTGCGGAGCGAGTCCAAGGACAGGGCGCTCTGCAAATTGTCGATGACGTAAGTCTGCCAGACCTTCCACTCAGGATAGAAAGCGTTGCAAGAGTACCAGGACATCCAGGTAGCAAAGCCCTCGTTGAGCCACAGACCATCCCAAAAGTCCATGGTGACCAAGTTTCCGAACCACTGGTGAGCCAGCTCGTGCTGAACGGTCTCCGCGATGCGCTCCTTGCGGGCAGCACCGCTCGTCTTCTCATCCAAGAGAACATCGACAATACGGTAGGTGATCAGACCCCAGTTCTCCATAGCACCGGCGCTAAAGTCAGGAATGGCCACCATGTCCATCTTGGGTAGGGGGAATTCACTGTCGAAGGCCTTCTCATAGAAGGCCAGGGTGCGAGCAGCCAGGTCAAGCGAGAAGCGACCGTGCTCAATGTCCTGATCCGGGGTGGCATAGACGCGGATAGGGATGCGGAAGGCATTGGTCTCGATGTACTTGAGGTGGCCGACAATGAAAGCGACGAGGTAGGTGGACATGAGGGGAGAGGTGTTGAACTTGACCGCCTTCTTGCCGCCGTCAACCTCGGTCTCAGAAGCAACATCCATGTTGCTCAAGCAGGCCATGCTCTTGTCAGCGACCAGAGTGATAGTGAACTTGGCCTTGAGAGCGGGCTCGTCAAAGCAGGGGAAGGCCCGACGGGCATCGGTAGGTTCCATCTGAGTTGTAGCAATGTACTTGGTTTCACCATCGGAGGTCTTGTATGAGGAGCGGTAGAAACCGGCCATGTTATCATTGAGCTCGCCGGTGAAGGTCAGCTTCAGCTGGGCCGAGGAGCCAGCGGGGATAGTCTCGGAGAACTTGACAGTGGCGACCTGGGTGTCTTGGTTGATGGAGACCTCGGGCTGGGAGGCCACGACAGAGCCCTGAGCAGAAACAACGGCATTGTGAATCTTGATCTCGTTGGAGTTGAGGGAGATGGAATTGGTATCTTCGGTGACCTCGAGGCTACAAGAGAATGTCAGTTGAAGCTGCAGCTAGCTCACAGGAGCAGTCGGGACGGTGAAGGAGCACATACTCGACGATGACAGTTCCGTCATAGGTAAAAGCCTCAAAGTTGGGCTCGAGAGTCAAGTCATAGTGAAGGGGCTTGACGTTGGTGGGCAGGACCTCACGACCGTGGGTGATGTTGGTCGAGCCCGACACTTCTCCACGACGTGTACCGCACATCCTGCGACAAGAGCAATAACGCTTTTGGAGCTTGGGAAGAGTAGTGGAGCGAAGAGGGGAACGACGAAGGACAGGAGGGGAAGAAGTGGAGGCAGAGAGGGAGGAGAGAGGAGAAGAAGATGATGATGAGGAGGAAGAAGCAGAAGCAGAAGCGAGGGATGAGAGAGAAGATATAGAGTGTGAATGAGTGGGGAGAGTAGAGGAGGAAGAAGAGGTGGGGGAGGGGCAGAGCGCATAGGAAGGTCTGATGCTGGCGGAGCTCCGGCGAAGGAGCGGTAACCGTCGGGCTGAGGTAAAGCGACGCATCTTTTGATTCCGAATGGGAGGTGGAAATGGAATACAGTGAGTGATAAGATAGCTAGAATTGGGATTGGAGAAGCTCAACCGAGGCAGAGCCAGGCAGGCAACGAATGAGGAAAGTGACAGCTGAATGGAACGAACTCAAACAAGCGCAATTGTCATTTCAGCAGGCTCATGGAGAACAATCCCTTCGAATCTCTTTCACCCAAAGCTTGAAGGCGACGAGGAAGAATTTCTCGTCCAGATAAGCAGGCGGTGAGACTCGTATGAGCTGTATGAGCTGTATGAGCTTCGGTATCATTACCGCTCTATTACCGTACCGTTACGGGTCACGGGATGACTAGTCCGCAAGCGGTCGGTCTTCAGGGCTTGGAGCTTGTCAGGGCTTCTCCGCATCACATGAGTCCGACCAAATCTCCTATTTAACTCCCCACCACCTCTTCCTCGCGCCGCTTTCCCTCTCCTCATTATTCATTTTACGCAAGCCAACTACCGCCGTATGCCTCAAATTCTCGTATGGTATATGGCGGTTCCGCCGTCCCTCTGGGGCCAGCGGTGCTTTGCCAGACGGTGCTCCAGCCAGTTTGAGGGGTTCATGATTTGGGTCACGCGTAGTCGTGCCCTTCCCGTGAATGGGCTTCCATAGAGGTCTGGGACATTAATCACTTTAGCTTAGCCATTTCTTTCATGTCATAAAATTCTAAGCCTTCAGTCCTCGAATCATAATCGGACCAGATATCATAAAACAAAAGCCTTTGTCTCACTCGGATTAAGGTAGCGCAACGCCACCATAGCAATGGTATCTCCCAAATGGATCTAATAATACAAGAACTGACTGTTGAATGAAACCCCAAAAGTGCCCCGAACCATGTTGGCTGCATCCATCCCAAAATGAAAATCAGAAAATAATCCCGTCCATTTGAAAATCAAACTCCGCATGTATGCGATGGTAATGTTAAATATTATGATTATGCCATAAGCGGCCATGATGTTGAATCGTTCCTCATAAAGCATTAGGCAACAAAGGAAGTGTCCCCACAATCGGAGTCCGGTTGCCGTTCAAACCCAAACTTTCAGATCCAGGCAGACACGTGCGCGTCTATCGCTGCTGCTGCTGCTGCTCGGACGGCTGGGCTGCCTGGTTCATGGGCATCTTGGTGAACACGCTTCTGGACCAGCCATCGGCGTCAATCACTGACTCCTTGACTAGGATATAACCTCCAAAGCGGGGCATCAAAATCGCCCACACCACGTAGTAGATGGCTCCAAGCGCGAAGATACCCAGCGCCACCACGCAATGCAGGTAGTACGGTAGGCTCTTGTACACACTCTGGCCCGCGCTGGGAGGAATATACGGGGCAACCACCAAGAAGACGTTCGACAGAAAGAAGAAGACAGTGACCGGCAGCGTGGCGCGGATACCAGGGGCCCAGTCAGGGAACTTCTTCGACTTGGTCAGATAGATGTAAATCAGACCAGCAGACACGAACACGTTGACAAGCGACAAGGGATACGTGATCAGGCTGGAGAAAGGCCAGGTTAGTATCGAAGCTCAAATCCAGAACAGTTTTGCAGAGACTCACTTGACCAAGAAGTTATAAGCGTCTCCGGGAGGAGGCGCCAACATGATGATGATGGAGACAACCCAGTGCTCGAAGAGACCAGTAGCCGGCGAGTTGAACGGCCGGTTGCTGGCCCAGAACTTCGACAAGGGCAGAACTCCCTCACGACCCAGAGCCTGAACAACTGTAAACAGTCTTAGTATCATTTCTTCGCCAATTCAAATATGGATGACTTACTTCGTCCCTGAGAGAAAATCACCGACAAGACATTTCCAAAAGCTGACAAGGCCACAAAGACGGACATGACCTTCTCGGCCCGTGAACCAAACATGTTCCCGAAGAAAGCGGCGGCAACAGTCTGACCCGAAGACAAGAACTGTTCCCTAGGCACCGCAGCGAAGTATGCGATATTGCACAGCATGTACAGGATTCCGACGGAGCAGATAGCAATCGGGGCTGCAATCTTCAGAGTACGTGTGGGGTTCTTGGTCTCGCTCAAGGCCTGGGAAGGTTAGCAGCCAGTCCACAGAGAGGAACATCCTGGTAACTCACATAGTTGGCGTTGGAATAACCGATAAAGGACCAGATAACATTGTATAGGGCCATGACGATGCCGTACCCGGTGTCGGTGGTACCCTCGAAAGCGTTCGTGAAGTTGTGGGGAGGGTTGTCGATCTTGACGTGGCCAGCAAGAGCCACCCAGCCGGTAACGACAACAAAGACGATGATGACTAGCTTGACGACACCCAGCGCGTTCTGAAGCATGAGGCCCCATTTGACTGCAAAGGAGTGTATCAAGAAGGCGACCGTGATGCACGCCAAGCCAATTCCACGCTGATTCCATCGTCCGACCTCAACGTCGGCAGCATTGAGGATGTACTCGCCAAAGACGATACTGTTACTCGCAGCCCAACCCAACAGGACGGCGTAAGCCGCGTACATGGCCGTTACTAAAAACTTCGGCTTGGTGAAGACATATTCGAGATAGTTTTTCTCTCCACCGTTTCTTCGCCCTGTCAGCATGTCAAGGCAACCTTGCTTTTGGGAAAACAACTCACTTGGGAATAGCGGTACCCCATTCGAGATAGACGGCCGTACCGGCCATGGCAATCAAAGTGCCGACGACCCACATGATGAGGGACAGACCGACACTGCCGGCCAAAGAGAGAATGGTGCTGGGGGTGGCAAAGATACCAGTGCCGATGACGCGGTTGAAAATCAGGAAGGAGGCACTGACCACACCGATCTGACGGCGGTCATCAGGAGTGGCCTCGAAGACATTTCCCTCGTCTGTGAGCCATCAGTTAGAACCAGTACATGCCTTGGGATAGCTGCCTGAGCAGGGGACCATCATACACAGTCCAGAGACACCATCAGTTCTGCGAAGACCATCTTCGACGGGCTTGCCGCCGGCAAGAGGCACCTTGTAGCCAGACTCAGGCTCGATTTCACCCATTGCGACGGTGATCTGGAATCAAGAAAAAAACTTGAAAACTAGTGTCTAGCTGTACTGATGAGGCCCCGAAGTGGGTGCAGGCTATATAGCGTGGGGAGACAAGTGACAGCAGCCGGAGAGAAGGCGGTTACCGACGGAGGCACGAGACCGTAAGATGGGATGGTGTGCTGCGACTAAATTTGATGCAATCGAAGGCGACCAAACCAGCAGCAACTCCGAACGGTCAGGCGTCGACAGGATTGTCTGAGCAGATTGAGACAAGACACCAGTGGTCAACGGAATGGAAAGAAGAAAAGTTTAGATGCAAGCGCGACTGGAATCTATATCCTTGGTCCAGACACAGCACCAAGCTAGTATACCAGTCGCAGCGAACGAATCGAGTGGGAGGCGGAAGTATAGAGTGACTAAGATAAATCAAAAATCCGACATCAAACAAGACGAGAATGTATGACAACAGTGACAGCAGTGACAGCAGTGACAGCAGTGACAACGACAAGAAGAAGAGTGCCGATTGAAGAGAGGAGGGAAAAAGACGTCAAGATGGGGGGAAAGAATAATTTTCATGCAGGGCGGGCGAAGCCATGTGGTTGGCGGACCTCCGCCGTTCGTCCAGCGGGCCTTAGCCTAGTACGAGAAGTAGTTGGAACTGTTGGATGAATCATGATGGATCATGTCTTGGTGTCTTGCCTTGAGGCAAAACTGGCAGGGCCGCCAGGGCAATGAAAAGTTTGCTGACGGGCGGAACCCGCGGTGGGTGAAAAACGCTCCACCCCTGGGCCTACTCTAGTCTCTAGGCCTCTTGGAGCCCATCTTATGACACACCTAAATTGAGCACGCCATTGTCCCCCTGCGATGATGAGTTAAAGTTAGGTAAGGTTTTGCACCATTTTGAGACAATCCAGGTTCCAGGCGGGACTCACCGTGAGCCAAGACAACCACTATCCTTCTTATCAGTATCGATTATGATCCGGAAGAACAAATCAAGAATGTAGAGGGGAAAAAAATCCAAAGGAAAAGAGGAAATAGAGATAGAGATAAAGTTCCTCTGATTATATGTATGTACAGTACAGCTTCGTCTGACTGGCAGTCCGTATCTGCTTCTAGAAGATTCATCCTCCAATTCCACCCAGACTCCAAGATCCCAAAATAACATCGTCATATCATATCCAAATGAGGTGGTGGCATGTGTATGTGTGTGTGTGTGTGGCAATTTGTGTGTGTACCTCTCCCAGTCGGAACGCCTAACAAAAACTGTGCAAAACTCCGAGGAAAAGTAAATTAAAGCGCAGAACTCCGTATGGTCGCAGTAACGCGTATATCAAGAACCCAACCCGATATGAAGAAGCAGATGAGGTAAAAGAAAAAGTGGTCAAGGAAACAATACCGGAAAATGTAAACCATTACTCACGAACTGTGATGAAGGAAGGTGAAAAATGCATCAGTTCCAGGTGAATTCACCTATCGAGGAAAACCGGCGACTCGAGCATGCGCAAGACACCCGGGGAAATTCAAGAGCATGTTCCAGCATGCTCGAAGAAGGAAAAGACCAATGTTCGGGAGTCTATTTAGGCGGCGTGGCTCCAATGGCATGTGCAACAGGTGGTGGGAACGTGGTGGGAGCCAACTTGCTCGGGCCGCTCGAAGGAGGAGTGATTGTGTGCCGTTTGGAGATCATGGCCAATTTCTTGCGGAGGGATGCCAATCGGCCCCGGATGCTGGACACCACTGTGGCACATTAGTGGAATTCTGGAAAACTTCTAGAATCTCCAAGGAAGAGATAAGGGGACCTACATTTGATAACCACTTGTCGATCCTCCGCTTGGACTCCATCTAGCATGATTCGTTCGCTGTTCCTCCGACTTTCGGCTTTGCTGCCGCTACTGTGACCGGCCCGAGACCCTTCATCCTCGTCCAGAACCGCCTCCAACATCCGGATTGCCGTAACATAAGCAATCTCACACCCGGCGAGGTCCTCTCCCGTGAGTTCATTGATTGCTGCCGCGCGACTCATTTCTAGGGCGCGGTCATACATCAACTTCTCGGCCGTCACCCCCGAGCTGACAACAACATCTCCAGATGTATTCGAACCCAGAGAGGACCCGACCGAATAGTTACTGGGGTGACTCGGATGGTCAAGCGGCAATTGTTTCTGTCCTTCAATCAACTTGAGGCGAACAAATTCGGCTTTCTCTAGCACCTCGTTGAACCGATTGCGCACCCACTGCACGATGTTGTTGATCCGGTTGCTGACGAGTGCGCCGGTGGCATCTCCCTTGCTGCCCGCCGACTCGCCGAACGCTTCGGCCCGAGTCTTGCGACTCCACCAAGCGCTTGCAATATCCATAGATTTTGCCAGCAAGGAGAGCGCTTTGACGTAGAGGACCAACGCTTCTTCTGACAGTGTCACAATCGCGTCGGCCGTTAGTCCGCTGTCAGTGGGATCTGGTGTCTCTGGCTGGCCAGGCAGATTCGTGGTTCCAGGATTGTCAGTCTGAACAGAAGGAGCCAGGGGAATGAGTTGCTTGTATTTTACTTCGGCAAATCCATAGACAACATCACTGCGAGTGGCACACTCCTCGAGCTCTTGAACAATCTTGCTATCTTCATCCAACGCCACATTCGTCTTGGTGCTGTCTCCGAGGACAATCAAGCTAGTTTGAGGGTTGGGATAGGCTGGAAAAGGGTTATAAGCCAACGGCGGGGAGCGCCCGCCCTTTGTTATTGTCAAGGGTGGTGAAAATCCCATCCCAAACAGGCGGCCGCTGGCCATATTGAGGGCTTTGGATATGGCCGACGTGGCGGATGTCGGGCTCTGTCCGTATCGCCGCTCATAAGAGTTCTGGCGAATGTGCGCTGAATCAGCACGAGGCCGCCCGGAGATCATTTGCATGGCTTTGCTGGGAGACGCGTGGGGTGACGTATTTGCAGTTGTCGGTACGCCCTGCATTGTTGCTGGGCGTCGTGAGAGCACGCCTCCCTGGCCAGGCCGAGAGAAGCCCCCTTGGATTCGCGGACTATGTGCCATTTCATCGGCAAAAGCATTAACCTCCACTGCCCGCTTCTCCACGACCACGTAATCTCGCTCAAATGCTACTTCTTGTGCTGCGCGCTCGCGCTCGCGCTCTTCTTTTGCCTTTTCCGCAGACCTGTCCACCTGCGGAACTCCAGACGGAGCAGTGCGGATCCGCTGACGCTCGACCAGCGTAGTTGCTGCGCCACCTTCGTTCGGCTCCTGGCGGAGAGGAGCCTGAGGATCTACTTCTGGCACCGGATTACCCGTCGTTGCTGCAGAACCCTTGGCAATAGACAAAGGTCTATCTGCACTGCCAGTCCTACGCATAGGCGTGCTCGGCGTACCGGGACGCGAAGTCGGTGCAATCGAGCGTCGGGCAACCGGATACGTGGAAGGTTCCACACGGTCGTTAGGATACGGCACCTCTTTCTGACGGGGCGGTGCTGTTACAGGAACAATCTCGGGCCGGGGTTCTGGTACAGGCGCTGATTCGGCAGCAGTTGCGCCAACGGTCGAACGTCGATATGGCGAGGACGCATCATCGGCTATCAAACCAGGAATTGGACCTGTGATGATGCCGTTCTCAAAGAAATCGGCAAAATTCAGTCTCTCTACCGGATTGCGTTTCAACAACGCTCTGATCAGTGCCTTTATCTCATCAGAAGCAGGGTTCTCCTCGGGAAACTTGATCTTGTCATCACCCTTCTCTATCTTCCGAAGCAGCTCGACATGATTCGAAGCCCGGAAGGGTGCTTTCCCAACGACCATTTCGTACAACACCGTGCCCACCGACCAGAGATCAGCCTTGGCGTCATATTTCTCATACCGGAGAATCTCAGGAGCCATGTAAAGAGGTGAGCCACACAAGGTTTCCGCAAGCGACGTCGCTGGAAGGGACCGCGCGAAACCGAAATCAGCGATCTTGAGCATGGGCAGCGATTCGAGCCCCGTCGTAGGGTTGAACGAATCTTCGCTGCCCTTGAATGGTACAACCTGGGTGGCACCCGAGCGGTACGATGACGGTGATGGACAAAGGAGCAGGTTTTGTGGTTTGATGTCACGATGGATGAGATTTCGATCCCGGAGGAATTTCAGAGCGCTCGACAACTGCTTGAGGAAATGACGAGTGACGACCTCGTTCAAAGCGCCACCTCGAGGATTCGGATACTTTGAGATCATTTCTCGCGTATACCGGTGTTCGCCTAAGGTATCTCGTCGCTTGATAAACAAAGATAGATCACCTAGAGCACAGTACTCCATCACCAGATGGATGTGAGACGTCGTCTCATGACAGTCGATCAGGGCCACAATATGAGGATGGTATAAGCCCTTGAGAATATGGATCTCTGACGACAGATTCTCCCTCAGCTTCTTGTTCAGCTTGGACAGGTTGACGGACTTTATCGCCACAAAGGTGCGGGTTTTCTACCAGAAGACACTTGATTAGCAAGAGCCTCCAGAGCTTCGGCTTGACCGCCGATGAACGATCCAGCCTCTTCCGCCAAGGGCGATTTCGGGTAGCGACATAGTAAACATACCGTATGAACACCTTGGTAGACAGTGGCAAAGCTGCCTCGGCCGATCTCGTCCAGCCGCGTGTAGCGGCCGATGGGCATCTCAGCGTGTGAGGAGTCTCTCGTCCTCCTCGAATGACCCGTTGATGCCATGATCGCGACAGGGCGCAGATAATGTGTGTACAAAACCCCAGCGACGCCCCGTTAACCAATAACAACTACCTCAACAGGAAGAATGACGACGGTGAATGATGGATGGGGCCCATCAGAGGAGTGGCAAGCGGTTGAGGAATGTTGGCGATAAGAGAATAGTTAGACAGAGAAAAGACGGGGAGAGCAATAGATATGGCTGAAGGATAAGGTGGACCGCGGAGGCAGTGGTGGAAGTAGTGAAGAAGCGCTGGGCAAGGGCGGCAGGCGAGCGCAGGCGAGCGCAGGCGACGAGACAAGGAATAGGTAGGCGTCGTTCTACCTTTAGATAGGGTCTGGGTGTAGGGGGGACCGACTTAGTGGTAGTAGATAGGTCGAGAGTAGACGTCGGCGCTGTAGGAGGCAGGAGAGCGGTGAGGCGGACAGACGGGGGTGGGTATGATAGGATGGAGGCGACAGCTACAGGGGGGGTGTGGAGGTGGAGGTGTGGCCTAAGCTGTTGCTGCAGTGCTGATAGACGTATACTAATTTCGGCAGACGAAGTATGTCGTGTAGATCGAGGCGTGGAAGTAACCGAAGGACTGATAGCAAACAAGACCGTGGCTTGCAGGATGGGAAAAGAAGAAAGAACGAGAAGAGAGACTAGGTTTGTAGATAAGTTTCAAAGTCACTCACAACGACAAGGGATGGAGGAGCGATGACTGAAGAATGGGAAGAAGAAGGGGGGGGGAGGAAAGGTAGAAGGAGAGTAGTAGTAGTAAAGAGAGAATGATGTGATTGATGGGGGAAGGTGGAAAGGCGGGAACAGCAGCTGGACCCGTGGGACATGCAAGAATTGTTGTATTGAGTAGGTAGGAATAGAGAAAGTCACTCAGCTCAGAGCCTGAAGGGAGGGAGAGAGAGGGACTGGACTGGACTGGACTGGACTGAGGAGCGTGACCGCCGATAAGATCATGAATGACCTTCGGAAAAGAACAAAGGCGGTCAGGAGGGCGGCATGTCCTCGAATAGATGTCCCGGCCAATGGCCACCCAGTGCCAATCTCCACATTACCTACTAGGCGTAGTACTTCCCAGTCGTCATCACCCTTACTAGATACCTTACCTACTCGTCCTGGATAAGTTAGTGATTCATTTCGGGAGACATACAATACATAACTGAAGATGTACTACAGACTGAGAAATCATCGAGATACCAAGGTTGACTGCATTATGCTTCTATGAAGGGGGAGATGTACAGTACAGTACTACCCTACAGTTCATTGAAACTTAGGTTCCTGCTATCTCCCACTGCAGCCCTGACAGCCCTGAGAAAGGCAAGACGGAGAGATAAGACGCGGCCGGAACAGGATGAATCCGGGGACAGGCGATAACGAGTGGATTGCCTGGGGAAAGTATCCGTCCTCGAGACATGGATTGATTGATGCAATCATCACTTTTCTCTCCATCGGGGGGAGCCACATACTCATACTGAAGTAGATCTGTACCTACTGTACCGTGCAAATGCAGATGTCCATCCATACCAGTGAAATAGGCGACATGAGCACTTTCGTCAGTTAATGATCAACTTATGATGTGATAGTCTATGTCCCCATACAATTACTCCCTCCGACTCAGCCACTTGCTGTATCATCAGCCATCAACATCATCAGCACCCAGACCAAATGATCAGCCGAAACCCAGTTAAGTCGAGTCATCTTTACCATAACTTACCTGGTACACCTGGTAACTAATTTGACGGGTTCTCATCTGGTGACTCAACCACTTTTCCCGTCACTTTTTCTCTCCCTAAACAAAAAATCAAGTTACTTGTTAAGTTGGTACTTGTTACTCAAGGTACTTTTCTGGGTCAGTGTCAGTGACACCCGATGTTTCCCTCAACCTAAAATCAAGCAAATCACCCACCAAGCTAGTCCGGACTCGCCTAATAAGACGAATGAATGGCGCATCAAATGACTCAATCCTCTTGTCTCTCTTTTTTCCCCCTCCTCTTCTCCCCGCCTCCTCTACCTTCTCCGGACGCGGCTGCTTACCAACAAAGACCCCCGGAGAGCCCAGTTGCAGTGCCCATCCGACCTTGCCACTTGCCGCGAGAGCCCCCTCTCTCCTCCCTCCTCCCTTCAAGGAACCCGGGATCGTAGGCGGGTTGACAAGCTACTCTATTATTATAGATGGGGCAAAAGGGCAAAAAGCCTTGTCCACCCAACAAAACTCTACCCGCTGCCTGATCTTGCTGGCTGATCCCCCGCTAAACCTGTCTGGTCATAGTAGGGACAGTAGGGACGCTCAGTCGGTGGCGATCGACACAGCTCAAACCCGCCCGGCGCACAGCACGTCCCTGAGCTTGCCGGACGAGTCTTCCTAGCTTTCTCAAGCTAGAGTGACCACTGACTAGGCTAGCTAGGCTAATCAAAGTGGACATCAACAAAGTACGATTCAGGTACGAAGCCGTTTCTCTCAGACCTTCATGCATGCAGCGAATGAATCTTCCTAGGGTGCTGCCTGATTGTGGGGAGGGTTTGCCTTCGGCACTCACTCGAGGCTACCTATCTACCTACCTTCTATAGTGTTGGCGCATGATGGGTTGGTTAAGGTATTCACAAGCAGAGCACGCCATGACCAGCAAGGACAGTCTTCCACGTCATCACCATCAGGCTGATAATTCTATCCATTCGCTCGCGATGATTAATTGAATAAGGGATGACACACAAGGTAATCGTAGAAAATAGAAATTGAAAAGAGAAAGTTGAAAGCAGGGGGGCAAACCACAACGAATCCACCCAAACTTGCAGCGCTTCGTCTTATGGGGTATATAGCAAAGCAGACATCACCAGAAGCGCTCCACCAAAGCATGCTGTAATCGTTACTAGATCCGAAAGTCAACCGCATTAAATACCAAGCCCTCTCACTAACAGCCACAGCACAACCGGTACAACGACATTGTCATTGCACCCGGTCAGAATAGCTTCGGTTGCGCTTGTCCCGCCGGCTGCGAGAATGGCTTTGGACACCATCAGGAGCCAGGGGTATATGAGATTCGTCCCGTCACTTCCGTCCGTGGACCATTGGCCCAGGGTAAGCCAGGTTCGTGCAACAATCAGCCCGCTGGTTACAGCGACTGCAAATGCCACGCTGCCCTCCAACGATTTCCCCCCGCCCCAGAACCATTTCCGCCGGCCGAACCGGCGACCGATGAGGGAGGCCGCCGCGTCGCCCATCCCGACACAGATAATGCCGCTCACCATGCTGACATCGCGACTCATTACGTCCCAACCCACCCATGGATATTCTCCTGTCCGAGGAACATCGGCCAGGGAAAGCCATAAGGGGATCGAGCATCCAATGAGAAGAAAAATATGGGAGACAATGACGGGACCGCGATGATCGCGACCGTCCACGTAGGGCGCCAGGAAATACGTCAGCGGTCGGGAGATCGGTGGCAGCTGAGAGGCTCGGAACAAGTCGAGGAGCAGGAAGATAGCCAAGGCGAGGCTCAACGCGAGAGCACAGAACAGGGGGTCAATATAAATGGTCGGAAGGAACATCGAGACCATCATCCCGTGAAAAACCTTGCGTCGGGTGTCGACCTCTGCGATTGGACTGAGTTGTAGCACAACAGCCAGGCCGGTCACAAGTACCAGGATGCAATAGGCAGCAATCAGGAGGCGCGAATTGGCCTCCCCGAACGTATCTTGCCGCAGATGCTCAACCCAGCCAAACGGGCATGATGCATTGGAGGGGTCGCTGTCCAGACGAGCTGGAAGAGGTATCCAATACTCCAAGCCCCACATAAGCACCCAGAACCTAAAACCAGATATATTACCGAAGAGGTACCCCAATGCCCACCCAAAGGGCTCCCCATTCTGCAATGCTCGATCACTGACATAGTACCGAATGGGCACCATGACAATAATCAGAACGGCGATGTAAACATACAGGGCATACAGCCATTTCCGGACTTGTGCTTGAGGTACAGTAAGCGATAGGAAGGAGGCTAGTCCGGGGGCCATTGATCGCTTTTTGCGACCTCCCGGTGTCGTCCTAACTTTCTCCGCTCGTTTGACATCGTCGAAGCTCGAAAAAGTGTGTCGTCGGCGATGCGCGGTACGGGATCGCCGGCGAGTACCCTCCATGCCCGTATTGTTGTGCTTGCCGATGCTTAGCCCGTGGGACAGCGTCTTGTCTCGCGAGTCGAACATCGTTTTGCGGGAGACCAGCACATAACCCCCATCGGCCGAATCACTATCAGAAAGATTATCTTCCGAGGAGCCTGTTCTGCTGAGCTTTTGGCAGAGTTTGTGATCGATCGCATTGAAGATGCTGCGAGGCGACTGCGAAGCACTAGGGGATCGCCGGAACTTCCAGGTCGGGATTCGAGCCAAGGCAACCTCCCATCGTAGCACACCCCGGCAAGCGATGAAGGTGCACATGCCTCCCAGCCATAGCAACGCCTTGAGGATTTCGGCCTGGGGGGATGTTGCAAATAAGTACAGATTGATTAAAGCGGTGGTTAGAAGCTGCAGCTCTGCGGGAAGGATGCTGGTAGTCAACAAGAAATCTAGAGTGGGTATCAACGCTTGATGGAAAGGAAAAATAAGAGTCAAGACTTCGGCGTCCAGGCCACGAAGAGTTAGTGGTTTCGGCCATGAAGGACCTGCCGACAGATGCTCCGAAACGACAATCGGGATCAATGTGACCAGCCAATGGACAACACTATAACCGTGGATCCATTCGCGCAGCGGGACGACTTTGACAGGGAGAGATGAAAGACCGAGAAGAATATTAGGCAGTATCAATGAAGGATTGTGATGCGCCAGAGACAGCGAAACGTAGATGGGTATCAATACGGGGTAAAGCAACGGAGCGGGATCGAAGGCGGAAGGGACGACAAAGGTGGACAGGCGAGAAAGTCGCGGGCGGCCGTCGCGATGCAGAGGATATGCGGTGTAGAGACCGATCACGATGACCAAAAAGGTGGCAAGCTCTGCAAGTGGTCACCGGGTTAGTCAAGAGGTGAGTCCAGGCCTCTCTCACACACAGGGAAGATGTCCGCGCACCTTTTTTCCAGGCCCAAGCGGCTACTCTCACGCTCTCCTGTCCCAGGACAACAACCCCCACTGAGAGCAGTAGTGCGGTTTCCAGTAGCCTTTGTAGGATGGCAACCCGTTTTCTGCGGTATTCCTGTTCACGTAGCTCGGCTGGCCCGACTTCCGCATCCTCTCCAGAACTCCGCCGCGAACTCCGCGAGGTGGACCGTGTTATCGACGGCCACGGGCGCAAGATGGGGAGCCACTGATCGATCTCGCCTGCGCCATGGATGCTCGAACGCAATCCTTTTCGCGGTCGCAGCGGAGGGGCCGGCAACCCTCTTAAAAGACCTGTACTCTCATCGTCGGCTTCTGTGCCGCTGTCACTCGAGGTCCGGGGCCAGCGGGAGGGCTTCGCTCGGTCGCCGGGGTCCACAGGCAGCGAGGAACCCGGACGAGTGTAAGGATGGGGCGATCGGGAGAAGTGTCGGAGATTATTGTGAGCTTCGGGGTCCGATGCAGGATCTTTGTTGGGAAGTAGCCCATCTTCCTCCTGGCTCTGTGTAGAGGTCATAGGTGTTTGCTGGGTCAGACCGTCCGGTTCTGTTCTTAGAGCGCGTACGTCATGTCGATAAACATAGGACAGGGTTCAAGAAAGGAGGGACTATAGAGTATGATCGAAATTAGTCATTGCAACATGTGTGATATAGCACGCTCAAAGGGTAGTAGTCATACCGAAAGATTTGACCCTGAATCTATGGTGCGTGTGGTGGTGGTGGTGGTGGTGGGGGAAGTGTTGGGGCGCAGAAGGAGTGAAGGATGACAGGTTGAGTGGAAGTTGTTATCGAGAGCTGATCAGATCGGAGGAACCAACAGGCGGGAGCGGGTTTTTTTCGCTTATCACATGCCGACTCAGCACGTCAGGCGTGCATCAGGAGATGGTAATAAAGGATTGAACCCCTTTCTTCCCAGGGTTTTTTTTACCTAGTATCTTCTTTCACCTTCCTCCGGTCATAAGGCTTTGGAATCTAATCGGGTACGGCAGTCAGCCCATCAGATTGTTCCGAATGATCTCATCCGACCCTATCGCTATCGGCTTACAGCAGAAGTGAAGTGAGGTGAGGCCACAGTTGTCTTCACCTGGGAGCCAACTTTCTGGCATCAACACTCATGGTGCTATATATACAATGTTCTTATTATCAAATGACGTGAATGGTATCATACTGCTATGCGCATGCAACTGTGAAGCCACACAGATCCTTTCGTTCCGAGTCTTGGCTCTTATGCAGACGGCTTCTGCCTTTGGACGATAACCCCCGCGGCCAGCTGCCGACCCTTCGATCCCCAAGCCGATTTGCAGGGAACGATTTGTCCCCAGGATGGATCATTGGACAATGGCTGGGTCGTGTATATGACTACATGGGGGCTCTTCGACCCTTGCGTGGAGTTCTGCAGGATCGACCGGAGGCAAGACTCGAAGTCAGGCCCAGACCATTTCGCATCCACCTCGATGCCGATGTAGCCCAAATCCTGGCCAGTGGTCACCACGGTCTGACGTCCATACTCCAGTTCTTCAGTGGTTATTTTGAGTTTATCGCATCGGAAACCGAGACCCTGCCACTCAATATCACTTCCTCGAGGCAGTTCTTCTATCTGCACGGCGAAGAAAGCAGGGATCATAGATCCCTCCGACTGCACCACATCGAACCGCGGTAGTCCGGGCTTCGAGACACCCTTGACCTGCTCGTGGGCTCGTCCACCATACTTGAGATCCCACGCATCCAGACCCGACTCGTCGTCGGCATCCTCTTCCTCTTCTTGATTGTGGTGCATTGTTTCCCACAAATTCCAAGCTATCTTAGCTCTCTCTCTGATATGATCGGCTCCCGTCAGGAAAGCGACAGCTCCCAACCACCAGTTGATGTTGGTAGCCACACCAATCCTCCATAGATGTTGAAGAGACAGGACCGCTCGCGAAGAAAAGCCCTTGAACCACGTCTCCTCGAGGCCATATATCTCCATCGAGGCCGGCTCGAGAGGAATCTGGCCAGCGATGTACACTAATTGCTCGGGGCCCTGCAGAGGTACCGACATGGCCTGCGAGTATGGCCCAATATTTGCGGGAGCCCAGTAAGAACGCGACTGAACATGAAGGCCTTGCCGCTGCTCCCTCGAACCCAGGTCCACCACCGCCGACACCATGATACTCACGCCTTCTGGGAGGCTAGCACCACAGGCGACCGTAGCTCTCGCCGGGGGGTTTGGCTTCTTGAACATCGAGACGTAGATGGAGTTCATCAGGGGGAAATCTGACATGGAGCGAAGCAACACCGTAGTGAAGACAATATCAGCCGTCGTCCGAGGAACCTCACGGCTCGAGGAGGAGCGCAGAATCGTCTGAATCTTCTCAGCAATAGCCTTCATCTGCTCACCAGCGCCGGAACCAGCCTCAGGCGCCGTGACATTAGCAATCACCCACGTCCTCCCATCCGTAGTCTGAACCGGATCAAGCCCATCACTCCAGCCCCTCGAGCCCACATCAAGCAAGCTCCTCTCCTCCTCCTCGTCCCCCGTAGCAGCCAACGCACCCTCAGCCCCCAAGACAGACCCCAAAACCTCCTCAAACCCCTCATCCAATAAATCCGGCCGTCTCACACTCTCCGGACCGCCCCGATCACCCTCACCGTCGCCCTCCCCATCCTTACCCACACACCTCGCTCCCTTCAACCTCACAAACCCCACGCCACCATCCCCAACACAAGCCTCCCACCCAGCAACCTCGATCCGACACCTCCACAACCAAGCCGGCCCATCCAGCGCCAGACTCTCATACTCGCCGCCCTCCCCCAACACGGCGCCGCGAATATCCTCCGCGTCCGCAAACCTTCTCATCCCCTTGACAATCCGCCCTCGCACCCGCCCATCCGCCGCCGCCACATCCCCCCACAGGAACCCTTCATCCAACCCGCCCGACGCAACCTTGATGATCCGCGCCTCGCACCCGGCCGCCGCCATATCCTCCAGCAAGCCGGCCTCCGTCGCCCGCCGATCCGGCAGCACGGGATACTGCCACAGCCAGGCCAGGGGCACCAGCCCCAGCCGGGCGGCCACGTTCTCGATGCGGGTGCGCTGATACGTCGAGAGGATGGCGCCGGCGGAGACGGCGTTGGCCTCCGGGTGAGCCTGCATGATGCGTTTCAGCAGCGGGATCAGGGATTCGGTTTCGTCGGCCTCCTCCTGATCTTCTTGTTCCTCGGCGTTGTTTGTGTTGTTGTTGTTGTTGTTGTTGTTGCTGTTGTTGCTGTCCTGACGGCCGGGAGAGTCCGCCATTTGGTCCTCGGCTTGCAAGCGGTAGATACGGGAGGTGTCGACGGCGCCGCCGCGGATGGGTTGGCGGTAGAGCGGGATGCCGAGGGCGGTCTCGTAGAGGGGGATGATGCTGTGGCCGATGGTTTGGTACATGAAGCTGTCCAGGTCTTGTTCCTCCTCTTCCGGGACATGTTGTAGCGGAGTAGATGATGATACTGGTGATGCGTCGGTGCTGGTGGTGTTTGCTGGCTGCGCATTGGCGGCGGGGTGGAGGTTCGCTAATGCGACCACTCTGTGGCCGTTGCGGATGCAGTGGAGGAGCGAGTAGAGAGAGTCTTTCCCGCCGGAGATGAGGGCGATCACATTAAGACCTGCGCCTGGAGCCGGCGGTGATGGTGGTGATGGTGGCTGGAGGTGCGATTGAGGTGGCATAGTGACTGGTGTAGTATGCGTGTTCGACAAGGAAGAGTGTGTTGGATGGAGGCTGCTGCTGTTAATGAGGGGTCGAAGCTCTTTTTCTCCGTGGTGGGATTCGGGCACCCCGCAGACAGTATTCGCTAATCGAGGGATAAAGGTAGGCACGCAGCAGAGCGACTGGGTCGAACATCAGAGAAAGACTATTGGTTAGTAATAATGCTCGCTTGACCTTAAACTAAAGGGTAACTCAAGATCCGACAATCACTCCCCAAGCAGAAAATTGTTGGAGGATAAAGTGAAGTGGGTGACTTTAAGATCTGCCGAGGCGGAGTGCTAAGATAAGCTAAATGCGGGTTTTTCCAAGACCATCGAACTACTCAGTACACCCACAAACGTCAGTCTGTCTACAAGAAAGCAAACGACTACTGTATGGGAACTTGATGATTCACAATTCTCAATTATCACAAGCTATGCTGCAGAACGAATGGCACGCTCAACACACAAATGGCAGATATGGGGTTATTATGCACAATGTAGATGCAACAAGTGACAGAGAAGGAAAGAAAAGGGGGTATGCGCACAGGGGTATGAGGCAACGATTGGGGATCAATATTAAAGTATACATGTGGCCAGCACAGTACTGCACAGGAGCAGAACAAAACAGGGTAGGTGGAAACAGTGGACACAGAAGGGTAAATAAACGAGAAGTATGTAGAAGAAAAGAGATGAAAAAGGAGAATGTTTGGGAGAAGGGAATAGGGTACACGAAAACAAGCGACTGGACCAAGTCTGGTGGTCCGAGCCGGCCATTCGCAATCGAGTTGAGGATGTTTGTGTTTGTCAGAGAGAGTAGAAGTAAGAGGGGAATGAGAGAGAAAGGAAATCAACCCAAAATCACCAGTGCCTCAGTGTAGAGTCATCATGCACGCGCTCTATAGTTTTGGTCCAACCGTGGACTCCCAAATGTTGTGCGCCCAAGTTCCTTTGCCGCCGGTCTAATGCTTCGCCAAAATTGGTGCCTCGAAGTCGCATTTCGGGAGAATCGACTCCAAGGACCGCTCAAAAATAAAAATAATCCATGCACCTGTACCTTCCTGGTCGCCGCCAGAATCAAAACCCGGACGCCAAACCGTAAGAGACCCAGTTGGACCAACCATGGGAATGGTTGGTCATTTATAGTATATGATTAAGTGATATAGGGGAGCTCCTGGTCACATATCATCATGATGGCTTCGAAACCAAGTCGACGACCTAATCAAGCATCCGCGTCACGCTTGCGCTTCTTGGGGGCTCGACGATCAGCAGATGGCGTCTCGATAGTGCTCTCATCGGACGAGTCGCTGGTCGACGACTTGTTGGCGGCAGCATTGGCAGCTTCATAGAGAACCGCACCCATGGTGTTGGGGCTGTGATCCTCGAAAGGGGACTGCGAGGATGTGCTGCTGGTATCGATAACACCCATCACCAGGGATCCGCCAGCATGCGTGCGAGCATGCTGGGCCAGGTTATCACTGCGGGAGAACTTCTTGCCACACTCATTGCACTCAAAAGGCTTGTCCTGCGTGTGCAGGGAGCGGTAGTGACGCTTCAAGTGTTCCTGACGACGGAAGCGGCGAGAGCAAAGAGTGCACACGAAGGTCTTGGAAGGATCATCTGTCAACGACTGCTTGCGACCACGACGGTTCACGGAGACCGGAGCAGTCGGTGCATCAGAGCAACTAGACATGCTAGCATCCGAGTTGTGGCGGGTCTGGCAAGATCCTTGGGAAGCTGTGCAATCCGACTCACTAGCGGAAACCTGTGCCTTCTTGGGCAGAGAGTCCGCGTCGCTCTCGGAGCCAGCTCTCTTGGGTGACTTGCGGGAATTACTGCGCTTCTTCGTTCTCATCTCCTCAGCAGCGTCACTGACAGTAGCTTGGACGGAGAAATCTGAGCCACCCAGGAATGGAAGGCTGGTCTGGGACAGATCCTGGTCGTCTGATTCGTCAAAGCTCTGCTCACTGAAGAACTCTTCCTCATCAAGGGAGTAGGAGTCAACACGCTGCCGCTTCTCACCCAGGTAGAAAGCGTTGCCGCTGGGATGGAAGTCAACCAGGCGGTTCACAAATTCGTCTTCAGAGTCCAGATCCGAGAAGCTGTCAAAGGTGGGAAGGCTGCTCAGGGGATCCTCCGAGGAGCAAGAGAACACAGGGGAGAGGTTCTCGTGAACCGGAAGAGTTACAGCCTCACCGCCCAAGACAACCCTCGACTCTTCCTCGTCACATGCAAGAGTGGGCAAAGGCGGCAACTCGGCAACATTGATTGAAGACTCGACAGTGAGTTGACGAGGGTCGCAGAAGTCCGAGTTGGACTGTTCAAGAGGCAGAGCGGACTGGGGCTGGACAATCAGGGTCGACGCAACAGGGGATGGCGATGGAGACAGGGATGGGCAAGAGCTAGTGGCAGACAGGAGCTCCGAGGTCTGGCAGGCGGTGTATGCAGGGGGGTGGATGAACACTAGAACCAGTTGAGTTAGTTCACCGAATAGCCCTAGACTACTGACCATCCACCAATGCCTTTTCGCACTCTTGCAGCGCGTGGTGTAGGCCGCTAACGAATCTTTTTGAAGGAAGTCAAGAACTAGTACGTACCAGGTGTCATGGGAGGCGAATCCGAGCGAGTCCAGTCGGCATTGGCCAGGATCTCAGCGTGAACGTCACTCTCGCAGCCTTCCTTCACGCCCTCAACCTTCTCAAAAGCAAAGAAACTCTCGTTGATTGGCGTGTGGAGGGATCCGATGCTGGAAGGCGGGCTGCTGATAGAGCTACCGGCTGTGGAGAGCGGCGGGGTGGAGGGAAAGGCATAGAAGTCGTTGCCTACGAACCTTGTGTCCAGAGGCATCAGAGCTGGTGAACCTTGCTGCACGACGATGGTGGGCTTGAGGTGGGACGGCTGAGGAGAAGCGATAGGCGTCATGTTCATCGCACCCCGGAAGGCATTCGTCGTAGCCATTTGGTGCATGTTCATGACAGACTGAGCGGTATAGAGAGACTGATCCGGCACACAGTGTTGGTGTTGTTGTTGTTGGGCGTGGGAGAACGGTTGCATTTGACCATAAAAGTGTTGCATATCTGAAGGGTGGCTGGTGAAGTGTTGTCTGGGCTGCGGGTCGGCAGCTGGGTAGTATGCAAAGGACGGTTGCCCTTGCACCGATGTCGGCGCCATTGTGTATGTTGCGTCCATTGTGAGTGTAGCTGGTTACCATCCTTCAGTCAGCCCTTGGTCGTCAACACACATATATTGGGAGATCAGACTCACAGATTGTGAAGTGTTGTGGTTGCACAAGCGAGTAGAGTCTGATCAACTCTGCTAGATGTAATTAGGATAAGTATATCAATGGGTTAGTATACCCGGACTGTTGGACTGCGCGAAGCTTTCTGTCTTGTAGTCGGGACCACTAGGCGATAAGAAGTCGTCTATATCAAGGACGACAGTGTTGGAAAGAATGTTGATAGTCTCTTGCACTTGAAGGAGTGAGTGAATGAGACAGCGCTGTGATATTGATGCGAAGAACGATAGTTCGTGGTGGTGGTGGTGGTGGTGGTGGTATTATATCTGATGCTTGTATCGCAAGTCTATTTGAAGGAAGGACAGGCACCTCTAATCGATACGATCCAAACCAGAGAATGAAGTCGGTTTAGAACGCGCTCGATAAAGGAAACCGAAAGACTGAAGACGCAAATGAAAGAGAGAGCGAGAGGGAGGGGAATTAAGACTAGAGAGATAAAAAAGAAGGGAAGAAGAGAGGACGACCAGATGAGGATCGAGACGAGTCTAAAAAGGGCAAAAATGAAATAAAATAATAATAAAAGAACAGAATAATAATAAAATAAAGAAAGAAATAAAGAAGATTAATTTGAAGGACGAGGAGGACAGTCGCGGGGAAAATGAGAGACAGGGCCGATATGGAAAGAGGAAAAGACGGCCAGAAGGATGGGCAGTGGATAAAAGAGCGACTGATCTGCTTGTGCTACGAGGTAGTAGCGCCGTACGTAGTGAGCAGTAGGACTGGAGCCGTACTTTTTAGCCTGGCGAGCCTTTTTGGGGTGAGATGGGCTGCATGGAACTTTACTTTAGGGTGGTGGTGCCAGTAGGAAAGTCGAGAGCAATCAGTTCTATAATAGTCGTAATTGTAATATAAGACTAATAAATCATCTAATAAATCTGCCGGACCAGGTACTGTGTCATATGTTATTTTGCTTTGGCTGTCTTCAACCATGTCTTTGACAGTGTATTCAGAAGAATTGAATTTGAATTTCAATTTATTTTCTCTTCTCTTCTCTCTCTCTCTCTTTCCTTTTTCCAAATTTTTGTGTGTTAAGTGTCTCTTGCTCTATTTTCTGAACGGTTCCATATTAGACTTTCTGGATGATGATTTGAATAAATTTCGGGGAACAATGGAAAGCGGAGAGAGAGAGAGGGCCGAGGAGAAGGGAAGAGGGGGGGGGGGGAGGGAAGGAGGTGGAATAGGAAATCCTATTTTCTCCAACCGGTGATTGTCATTATTTCTTACCATCTTATGCACCATCAATGCTGAGTAGACTTTCTAGTCTGGGGCGGCAAAGAAAGCAGATTGGCGCCGGCGGTGCACATCTCAGTTCCAATTCAGTTTAGAAATTTGAGAAAGCGGAGACCAAAACCAACGGGAGGTGGAACACCCTGCGGACTACTAGAGTACATGTAGATACTACGGAGTCTGCACTGTACCACTACGCCGTACCTTACTACTATTACTCCGGTCATCCTACTACTCTGTACGTACCTCTTCAATGCGGACATCTACGATAGTAAGAGACTGGGACGAGAAGAAGGAGGAGGAGAAGGACTAGGAGAACGGATATTGAGATCAATACAAGACAGGTATCAACAATACATATACTAAAATATTGTGCCATTCATTCCTCATTTTGGGGGGTGGTGGAGACTCTGGATGCTGTTGGATCGGAGCTTAGTTCGAGAGACAGTCAGATGGCGAGGGCGAATCCCAGCGTCGACTCACTAGCAAATCGTCCCCACCACCTCGGCCGGGGAACCCAAAGAGGCGTAAGTGCGTGGAGCACATGAGCACGAGTGGGAACATTGGCGGCCTCAAGCCCCATTTCAATGGTGCATGGAAACTCGGCCCTCCGTCCATTTATTACCACCAGACCACACCCACACCCACACAGGCACACATGTCTGACGGTCACGGATGGGTAAATGCGTAAATGCGGAGATGCTCATGTCCCAATGGCAAGCAAGCAAAGTACGGGAAAGTTTAGAAGCGAGAAAAGGAACTGCTTGTGACTGTTGGAAACTCATCACAATGGGGTGATAATAACGATTGATATATTATCATCACAAATTATCACCCTCGGTGACACTTAACACTGTTTCAAAGAGAGTTCATTACTGTAGGGCAAATGACAGTTCTGGGATGGATAGTGGTGGTAACTGGTAACTTGGTAACTCTAGTTCACTTGTACTTACTGTACACTACGGCCAACTATGGAGATATGTGGCTTTCCCACTTCTTCCTCTCGGTCTCCGTTTGTCTTGTCTTGTGGCCAATTCATTATTCACGTTTTAGATAGACATCCCCATAACTACATAGTATCTCCATATAAAGTACAGACTACAACTGTCGGGGGGGGGCAAAGCGGGTTCCATAGTCTCTTCAATCTCTTTTGGAACTTACCCAAGTAGGAGGGAGGTCTACACATTAAGTGTCAAGAGTCCAGTCCCGTCTTCTAGTTAATACTTACCTAGTAGCTTTCCACACAGGAACAGTCCCGGGTGTAATTTATCCTGTAACTTCGCCGGTAAGGTAACAGGTAACAGGCTGAGGCCGAGCTGAAAAGCCCGTCTCGATGGTTGAAAGTCGCCACAGCAGTCCGTCCGAGACTCTCAGGCAGTATTATCGCTCCCAAAATAGCACCTCAAAAGGTTGTCTGTCGAATGGCCCCCCTTATCCTCTACCCTGCCTCTCTCACTGCCACTGCCTCTCTGCCAGTCAAGATGGACTGTCTACTCGAGGTGCTCAGGTGCTCAGCTGAGACCAACATCATCAATCACGCTGCGCGCTTACTGTCGAGACCACTTGTCCGTCAATGACAGCATTCATCGTGATGCTGAGGGTGATATGTTATACATAGTACATGGATCGGATGTTCCGTTACCAATGAGACCTGCATCAGCAGCATCGGATGGCCTATCTGGGCTTATCAGCGGCCTGTTTGTCCCACTGGCCTGGTGCACGAAAACCAATCGGGCCAGTCGCCCTCGCTGGAGCAAACTGAAAAGTGGTGGAGAGGGTGTGCGAGTGAGAGCCTGTTGGGCGGGGAAGGAAAACCAAAAGTGAGATTTCAATAGGCCGGTTCAGTCAGCCAAACCGGCCAGACAGGCAGTCAAAAGGGCTCAAGACAGACATAGATAGAGAGAGAGACACACACACACACACACACACACACACACACACACACACACACACACACACACACACACACGCACGACACGCACAACACGCACACATAGACATGGTGACTTGAGTTAGCAACCGAAGGTAATTGACTGCAAGTCTGCCAGGTGAGAAGGCAAGTGCATCGGAAGCTGCATTCGAAGCCAATAGCCTCAACCTGTGAAGGGAAGGGATTGACTCGCCGGCTAAGCTAGTCGGCCCCACTGCGCATCCCGTCCGCCATTTGGGGCATTTCATTAAAAGTACCCCAAAAAAAGACAAAAGGAAACAGAAAAGAGGAGAGGAAAAAAAAAAAAAAACAACGAAATAAATGACGAGGAAACGTTGTCCCATGTTCCCTCACTCTGGGAGGCCTCACGCTTACAGTAAGATCAGCAAAATGACCTTCGAAGTTGGTTGGTTGGGTAGATGATGTGATGGATGTTATGATGAAGAGACCGTGGCTGCTGATTTGGGGGTTGTCTTGGTCAGTGCAGATGTTGTCCGCGGCCCCTCCCCGTTCTCTCCCACACCCCCAAACTCACGCTGGGTCGCTCTGGACTTTCCCTTTGGTCTCAGCCTCTGTGAGGGCGGAGACTGATGATTATGATTGATGGGGTTTTGGAGGAGATGGATGATGCTGATGGCGGCGGTGGTGGTGGTGTTGGTGGTGATGATGACGACGATCGATGATACGAACTGCCCCGGCGCAACGGCATGGATGCAGGCATGTAATTCCGGACTCAATGAGACCACTCAATTAGTACAGACATCGTATGGTCCCATGTCGATAAGCGGACATGAACGAAAAAAACGTTTGCAATCCTTTGGCCGTCCATTCTAGCGGCATCGAGACTAGCAATTTCGAGAAGCAACACTACTGTACTGTGGCATCATCTAGAGCTCTCGACACCACTGGTGAAACGGTTGCGACTAGGGCCCACCGCCTAACCTATGGCATGGTGCAAAATAAGTGCTACTAAGGTATAGTCTACCCGTCCTTACGGGTGGTACTAGTACTGCCAGTCTACTCCAGTCTCTTAAGTGTTCACTACTAACAACAAACCACCGGCCGTCAGAAAAAAAGACACCCGAAGTCCCGGGTGCGACACAATCGGAGCCCTGTGACATTCTAGGTAACTCATATCGTAAGCTGAGGCAAAAATGTATAGGTCGTCTACCGATCTGATACCTTTCTGGGCATCTGGAGAAAAGACACGCTGGCATGTTCTTTCCTAGGTGATTCGCATTGATGATAATCATACAATAAAATCAATGAGCAGACATAGGATGGCTCTAGATCCCGATAGCATGTCATATGCTGGATACACTACGCCGAGAATATGGTGCAGACAGTATTGAACCCAAGAGGTTTGATTATTTCCTGAGGTGGAGGAAAGCTAGGTATAGCTCCTGCGTCGTTGGGCGAAGGTTTTCCTGGGGAAAGTGTGAGGTGATGTCAAGTCAAAAGCACGAAAATCCCAGGGTACTGGCACCGTAAGGATAGGCTAACTCCAATTCTGATGTCCTAAAATTGAGAGTTTGGCCACGTAGCACATAGCCGGTTCCCAGGCGCGGTGTGCGCACTCGGATTGTCAAAGAGGTCAATCACTCACCCACTCACTCTGAGTACTTACCTTTCAAGAGAGGGAGAGAGAGAGAGAGAAAGAGAGAGAAAGACAGAAAGGGCCTTCTTGGATTAGCTCACATTTTGAGATTCGACTTGTTCAATGGCGGGTGGGATCGATCAGGTCTGGCGGCCTACTGCAGGAACCGATGCGGAGGGGAACTGTAGCCTGCATGGCCGGAGAGGGGGAAAAGCGACACTCTCGCCGGAATTCCTTGTTATGCCAACCAACCCTTGCTTACATCGTTTATTTGTTGTCCGATAGACGGTTACACAGGGCTTAGGTACATATGAAATGCAGCTGTCAAAATAGAACCCCCGATTCTGATTTGCTTCAGAAGTCCAATCTGATCTACTTTTTCTCCCCGTGGTCGCCTTTCTGGTTTTGTTCTTGATCCATTGCACCTAGAATCCACTTTTTGGGTTCGGTCGGTCGGCGATAGGGCCGGTTGCCAATAAAGAACTTTCGGTTACTGTTGATTGCCATCATCTGCAAGCCTCCAATCCTCTCATTTCAACTCAATAGTCGGTCTCTTGACTGCATTGGACCTGATCAATTGGGAGCGGAACTTGGCAGAGTGTTTGCTGGTGTATCACTACTCCGCAGAATTCTGTCGCCTTGATCAGGCAAATAGCACATGATTCATCTACGTCGTTATTGTTATGATTTGCAACAATCGGGTTTAGTTCGACCACGGGACTTGACTTGTCCACGTCATGGGTCAATTGGCGGACAATGACAGCCCTTAGTCCAACAGCCAATCGAAACCAACTTGTCACTTTATCTTGTCTTGTCTTGTGTGTGAGTGGTGGTACCTACTCGAGTATCAGCAAAGGCAACGCAAGGGGACTCAGCCAGAGCTGTCAGAACTCAGAACGCGAAACGCAGAACACGGACCTCCTCTGCCTTCCTCCAAAGGACTATCATTAACCCGTTCAAGCACCCAGCCATGAGCATCACAGTGGCATTGCGCACCTTGACCTTTCCTTTGACCGCCACGCAGTTAGTTCGCCGCCGACTCAAGGCTGCCAGGGATCGTAGACCTGGCTGAGGTCTCTCATCGGTCCCCCCGCTCAAATACTCGTACATACATGACTCGTCAGTGTGGCCACTGTTTCAGATTTCACGGCGCAGGTACCAGGGTCCCCTTCTTCCTATCTCGTTGCTTGTCTTGGTTCTCCCATCGACAGTCACGGGAGTACTCCGTAACAGGAGTCGCAAGCATCAAGCGATGATAAAAATAAATTACCGTATCGAACGCATACCTCTGTCTCCGGTCGCAGCGATTTAGTTCACTCCATTGGTGGATCTAAAGATAGAATGGTTTGGCTGATACACGCCATGATACCAATCTACCTACGTACTCTAGTCACTACCGACACTGCGCAGAAAGACACCTTACTTGATGTGGGTGCAGCTTCCGGATTCCGGCCCAGTCCCCGGAGTGCGGTAATTTCGCATTAGCCACTGACAGCGGCGCAAAGTCGACATTATCCTCGACGATGATAAGGAAGAGGGGATGGCAAAATCCACCCTACCGCTTGACCGTCGGAAAAGGAGGTTTGGTCTTCACTGACTTATCGCTCGGTATGATTTGGAAGCATTGGGCCCTAACAGGATGGGGTCGTCGACTTTCGAGATTTCCTTGCCACGCCGACAAGTTACGACTGTTAAACTACGTACTACCGGAGGTAATACGAACAACGGCCCATAGTGCACCCAGGCGACTTTACTCGTTCAGGTTAGGGAATCACTTGGCTTAATATATGCATGGAAGGTCGCTGAGCTTCGAGAAGACCGCGACAGCAGTTTTTGACAGTCCATCCGAGCAGCTAACTGTTCTAGCTCGAGAGACTACTATCGGCCAATCTCCACTGCCCACAGGGAAAAGCTCCATTCTTCTGCTCCCATCCCCATCCCGCAACTCCATCGCCCTTCTACCACTAGACTCCTGCCCATTAAGACATCGATGGGTGCCTAGTGGTTGGTTAGTCAGGGGAGCAGCAAGTGATTAAGCAAACGCCGAAAAGGAGGAAACAACGGCAACGGCCCAGGCCGAGGAGATCATGGCTGTCTAATTTCAATATCGTCGGACCTCGCACTGAAAGCAGCCCGCCGGATGACAACCCATCTCAGATGCCAGGGATGATTTTACAGCTAAACGTCCTCCTGGCCCGTCCAGGCCCGGCGACGACGGCTGAACCCCTGTCGTTGCCACAAAGGCAAAACCAAAGGGAAAAATCAAACCCGTTGCGCCTTGGAAGACACGACGAAGCGAAGCCTCGGTAAAAAGACCCATGCGCCCTTGGTGCTTTGCGCTTGAAAAATCCAAAGACAAGAGAAAAAAAACAACAAAAGAAAGAAACACCACAGCCGAGAGCCACGAGTGCCAGTCTAACGGACGCTATAATTGAGGGACTGTCGTCATCGACTGGGGAACACCCGAGCTAGCTCGAGAGGGTCATCGTGTCAATACCTTCACATCGGGTAATCCATGGATGTTCAAATTTCAAATGAAAGCAGTGCTGTTCGCTTGGCTCTCGTTTTGTCCGTCTGTCACCACAAGAGAGAGAGATCGATCCTCTTAGCTGCTACGTCCTGCTGCTGCTGCTGCTGCTCCCCCCTCCTCCCCTCCCTTTTCTCCCTCGAGTACTTTACCTTACTCCGTACACCGGTGGATGAAAGACCCAGTTGCATCCGCATTCTGTACGCTCTACTCCACACATCCATGGGAAGAAAGCGAGCTAAATGGAAAAGAAACCCGACCGTTGTCTCGCGTTATTCGAGTTACTTCTTTTTTCAGCCTGGGACCGAAATGAGGGATGATTCGACCACTCTATGTATGTTCTGGCGTGGTCGAAATGACAATGTCTTTCAACGTCATCTACAAGGCTGATTTGTTTTCTTATTGCCGTTTTCTATTTACCCCTCTGATCGACTCATTTTACGATGTCGGCGGTGGGTTCTCCGTGGGATGACAGCCGGGGCGGTAGGGACCTAGCCCCGAGCAAGCGGCGCCACTCAGGTCCCCAAAAGCCCAGTAAAAATAAGCGACCGTGCGGGCATGTGGGAAGCAAAAAAAAAAAAAGAAAATGTCAAAATCATTGTCAAGTCTCCTCCACACTCGGTGTACCCTCATTACCTACTCGAAGAAGCCCACCTCGCTTTTCCGACGAATCATGGGACGGGAATCTGGCACTGGGACTTGAACGTCTACGACTGTGCTATGCAGTCAAGCAGTGCGTCCCCGGCCGGGAATCGGTAAAGCTGGCAACAATCGACTTAACCTCACCGTCAAGCTCCGTGAGGCGAGCAGTGCAACAAACATGACCGAATGAGGTAATTTTCAAATAATACCATGCAGTATTGCGCCATCCGCCACGATGGGTCTTCGGAGACCGGAAGGGATGCTACGGTTATCGGCCACTCTGGCGGTCGCCATCGTCTACCCGAAGTAAGAAAGAAGAAAACCCTCAGTAACTATGTGTACAGTAGGTACTCTGTACACGGCGTACAGTATGCCTAGAATGGAGGATTTGGGGGAGGCAATAGCCAACAAAAACAAACAAACCAGTCCGCAAACCTTACCCCGTTCTTTGATCATATCGCTCCATCCCGACACTACCCAACCAATGGGTTGCGCGACAGCACTGTTGATAAGCCATTAGAAAGCAAACCCACCATGGCTTTTTTTGCGTACTGCTGTCTATTGTCGGTGGTCCCGGATGCAAGCCCACTCGACAGAAGAAAAGTGTGAACAATTGCGGATCCTATTGTTGTGGCTAAAGTTCTATGGAAGGAACATCAGGCAACGGTCTACCAAGTGGGTGGATTACTGCTGAAGAAGGAAGGAGATTAGAGGCGAGTGAGCCCTTAGTAAACTATAACTGACTATAAGTTAGTAGCAGAAATAAACGCAGAAGCCAGAGGGAACCCGATCATCACGCATGGTGCATTCATGCCGTTGAATGGACAGTTGATCATTATATATTATCAACATTGCATATCTGCGAGTATCATATCACATAGAACCAAATTGGAAGATGCTGCCTGAATTATTAGCCCGACCACTCAGGGAAGCTTTGTGAGATCGTATCAACACTGCATATTTCTTTGATAGAGTTCAGATGAACCAATAGTTCAGCGCCTAGTGTTGAGTGAGGGTTCATGCTAGATGAGATACGGGGTGTAGGTACGGTAGATTTGGGAGGAGAAAGGAGGGGGGGGTTGTTGTTTCGCTGCATCAATGGTGGAGTGAGACAGTGAGATTGGAGGAAAGGGCAAACGGTAACATTACCCAGACCCAGTAGTGTTCTTTCTTTCCATTGGAAGCTTCCATGGCAGAGAGTCCATCCGGCCAAGGAGACTAGTCCTACAGTTACATACAGACAAGCTAACTGACTATGTACAGATAGACAAGAACTAAGGAGCCTTAGAGTCGGAAATCAGCAGATCGCACACTAGCAATCCGCTCTGGAGAAAGACGAGCCAAGCCGAGAGTCGTTCTTCCCAGGAGACTAAACTCTGTAGGGAATCTGGCCGGGAAACCCGAGTCTCCGGACGAGCTGCTGTCGGGCTGTCGCGCGTGTACCTTGGGAGGTTCAAGGTTCAAGGTTGCCGGATAGCCAGATCTGAAACCGACTAACGCGTATGCCTGCCTCCAATCAGTGTCCGCCTAGACTGGGGGGCGTGTCTCGGCTTCCGTCTTAGTCAGGAGAAAACCCCCCCCCCCCCCCTTTCAAGATGGTAAGTATCTCCGATTTTTATTTGTATTTCATTTCACCCAAACGGCAACCCCTTTGACTACTACACCAGTCTCGGTCAATGTCTCCAATGAGTGCTACCTACGGAGTACGTACAGTATTGTACCAGACTATCAAAGGGGCCCCCGCTGTTGGCGTCTCCGATGCAAGTAAGCTCATTTGTGAAACCGTCAGGGACACACCCACGAGGTGATAATATAGCTGAACGGGGACAAGGGTCATGATAATCCGAAATGAACCCCGGCTAATGTGATTTACCTCCTACATACTTAGTCGCGGTCCAGTGGAACGACTCTAAAGTGACTGAAGAACTTTTAGGCTTTTAGCAGCATTCTTCGAACCTTCTAACTCCTCCTCGACTCGAGACGGGCGATAATTTATTTACCTTGGAAGTCGTCGATGGAGACCGGATCCATGATCTGACCATTTCATCCCTAATGAGTGGACACGGGGGGCTGGCCGGAAAACTTCCGACGCCACTGGTGATTTGCATTTCGTTGAAGTAAATCCCGCTTAGTAGGCCGATGAATATGTATTATTCATTGTTCATCATGGAAGCTTTTTTCCCTATCATGTCACGGAATTGATCACAACTGCCGCCGGACCCTGGGTCTCCCGAAGGGAATCCACAATCCAATCTAGCTATGGGCTGAAGCAACCATACCGCGCCATATATCTATCTATATGCGGCAGAAAAAAAGAGTATTTCGCACCAGCGATGTCGCGATGGGCACTGTGGCTCGTCTAGCGAAACCTGCCTGCGCCGCTTCCAAGGCAGTAGGCGAGGGGTTCCCACTGCTGGTTGAGTAATGACAATTGCATCCTTCGTACTTAGTCCGCCGCCAAGCAGCTTCCCAGTCCGGTAAGTGGGCATGGTTCCGACTGCCGGCATAAAGCTTCAGGCTAATACCGCAGCATTTTGCGGGGACAAACTATACAGGCTAGACGCGTACGAGTACCTACGGCACCTGCAGGCACACCGTCCAGTGTCCAGTGTCCAGTGTCCACCCACCCAATCACCCAAGCATGTGGCCGGAGTACTTTCCCTTGGTGCTAGCGGTACTAGCAGTGAATTGAGCTTTGGCTACCAGAGATGGCGGTGGACAGGTTTGTTTACATTTGTCCTTCCTCATCAGTGCTCGAGGGAAAAGACACTGACACACATACACACGCGCACGCACGCACAACCTTACCGTATGCTGATTCAAGCCACAAGCACACCGTTCTGGAATTAACTAGCGAAGCATCCACATTTCCAAGCTCGTGTGGCGGCGCCCAGGTCGTGGCAGAGACGATAACGGATGCCCTCGGTCGAGCTTAAGCTTGGACTGCGCGCCTCTTAGGGTATGGGCATGCACCATCCGAGCACTTGAAGCCAGCACTGAACGGAACACACACACACGAACGATATCTCTCCAATTCAGGGCTGGAGGATCCCAACTCCAGACCCCGACAGGCAGGCAGGGCACCTTTGAGTTCTGTTCCTGGGTGCTTGCAGGGAAGATCATGGACTAGAGCGGCCGATCGCATGA